ATAGAGAACTTCAGTACTGAGTCTTACGTGTAAACGTCGAACTTTGATGTTTGCCTTGCATTGGAGTCCCTGATTGGAGTGGACTAGACAAATCGGATCTCAAACCTCAAGAATTCACCACATCACGCAATTTTAAAAGTCTACTCCGAGGAAAGGTTGGCTCGCAGAAACTTTCCAGTTTTATCAAATTTAACTCCGTTTTTGAAAAGAGGTAGCAGGGCTTCGCTATTTGACAAGCAACGTTAACTCAGTTTTATTGTTTTTGGAAATAGATGTTCACACAAAATATGTTTTTTATATTTCATGTGGTCAAACTTCATTCGTTTCATGATGTTTTCTCAGTTTTCACCACTTTCAGTAAGTAAACCTGATGGAACTGAACAGATGATCCAAAAAAATGAACCAAGCTTTGTTCCTCTATTTCTACCAGAACAAGAACACGCCTTACAGCGGCATTCCGTCTCGCCAGCTTGGAGATTAGATCGAGAAATGATCGGTGAGGAGACGATTAATTCTACAAGAAGCATGATTTACTCGCTAAAGGTTTTTTATTTCCTACTTTATCGAAGTCGATATACTTTTATTTGTTTCTGAATTGATTTAGTACGCGTGTTAGCGACGACCAGAAATATCTCTCCAGTAGCAGGCTATATAGCCTGCGAGCAAGCTCTCCCATTTGGGCGAGTGAAACGAATCTCGCGAGAACGCGCGAGCGAGCGGCGAAGCCGCGAGGGGCATAGGAGAGCTTGCTCGCAGGCTACAGGCTATACGCGTGTATAAATACACGAAAATTCAAGGGCCTCGATTTCAGAGAAATTAAGTCATTGCCAGATGTCAAAAAAGTGATTTACATGGCACGTCATTTCAATCATTGCCGAAAATAAATCGCATGCTTATCCCAAGACTCATTTGCATATAGTGAAAGTTTACCACACCCGACCATCGCAATTTTGCTAATTAAGATTCTTATTTTTTTCGACCACTCAGTAGTGTTCACTTGTTCCAAGGTAATCAGCGCTTTCAAGCGATAGAATTCGTGGACCGACATGTTTCGGAAAAGTTCTAAATTTAGTCTTTCAGTAAGCTTTCTTCGCAAAACATGCGTGGCTTCGATCATGCAACGATTCTTAGGCCCAGTTTCCTCGGTGTCCGCAACGAACGCCTGGCACAATGACCCGCCTTTTGTGACACTTGGAGTCTTTCCCCCCAGAAGACACGTGGTATGGCGTGATTCTGTGGGTGTTAGGAGTTCTGGGTCAGGGCTAAAACCAGAATGCGCGGATATTTTTCATCAGAGCCTGATCTCTGGTTATTACGCAATACTGACGAGCCCCTAAGAGGGCGAGACAGCTGTCCATGGCTTCAATCCCGCTGTTTGAGTTCTTTCGGTGTCGTGTTGATGTCTTGCAGAGTTAATTTTCACGAAGTACGATCAGCATTGCAGTATTCTGCTTGCAGAATTTAATATGTCTACATTATTATACTTTTGCTGATCAGGTCTTTATAGATCCTACGTTCTTCGGCATATTCGTTTGCGGTCCTTTGCAGTCCTTTGTGGTTAATGTTTGTACTTCGAAATTGATACCCCATTTCAGACCAAAACGGCGCGGCACATACCTACATAGCCTATATAAGGGACTACCCTTCCCGGGCGAAAAACGCGTTGCAGATTATGAGTCTCGCTGCTTACGCAAGCGCGACTAATAAGGTTGGTAATGTCCTGAGGCTAGGGCCGGCTACACGTGCGTAGAAAGCAACCTCGTTCCCAGGGTCCTCTCCTCCCCAAAGGCGAGCGAGGTTGCTCAGAAAGTTGCGCTATTGCGAGAGGAATCCTAGCTTGGGAAATGGATGAATGATGTCTCGTGGAAAAAAAACGACTAGCAATACTCACCTTAACAATACATAGGAAACGTTCTACATTAATTTGTTACGTTTTTGGAGTGTCTGCTTAGAAAGGCGGGTGTAACTGATCTGAAACTGTACGGTAATGAGTTAAAACAATAACTGTTCAAATTAGACGAATGCTGTTTTTAAATAAAGCAAAAGAAAAGGAGTTAGTTTCTACAAAAACTTTTTCCATTAGACAAATCAGTGACTAACCATTATAATCATGAAGAGATTCAAAAGTTGTGTGCCAAATGCCACCTCCAGCTCCCGGAAGCTTATTGCTCCAGTGCTGGGCTAGCGCTTGAAACACGAACTTTTGAATCCCTTCCGGGTTGAAAATCAACTTTTTCACTATTTGGGTAACAAAACTAAATTCTAAAAGGTAAAGCAAGAGCACTTTTGTCTTGAGAAGTTTGTTTTTGAATGACAAGAACTAAATTCTGGACGAGTAAACTAAGAAGGCTTGTAAACATTTTATTTGCCTTGAAGAAGGGCTATTACTTTGGCAGTAATTTGCTACTTTCCTTATAGCTTCACATAGAAACTACTTGCTAAAATTACACTACATTAACTAAGAAAAAAAAACAAACTAGAGATTTCCTGAGCGGCATGGCCTCTCCCAGTTTCGTAAAATTCCCGCCCCAGCCCCACCCACTCAGCGTCTTGTGCGGCTTATTGATTGGCTATCTCCTTAAGCTGCCAGGTTCAAAACTCCTAGTAAAGGTTGGAAGCAAAGAGAAACCATCGTTTATTTAATAATGATCACAGCCTATGGTAGGGCATCTCTGCCTTCCACAGATCTTCCAACACACTGTCGTGTCTAGCAAAACGAGTAGTAAAAGAGTTGATCATCCCAGCAGGACTAGGTTCAAACTCTGTCAGGGTAACACAATTGTCATCTGTGAAAACGAAAACAATAAATAAACCAATTGAGAAAACTCACGTTTAAAGAAGCAAATGAAAACTCTGAGAACTTCGTCAACGTCCCCCTTAACTTGGGTTTAAATCTGGAATAAGTAGCGTGGACGCCGCAGACTTAAAACACCACTCGCAAGTGATAATGTAAAAGTAACTTAGCTATTTACTGGTAAAACCTTAGGGGCTCTAAAGAATTCGTTTGGCGATATTTGTGTCTCCCGGATGGAATAGGAATTTGTAAGAGTTTAAGGATAGTTAGGGTAAATTAGAGTACCCGGGTAAAAAAAAAAAAACATCTCGGAAAAGAATCGGACGGGAAGAGCAACATTATCAACCAAAATAAAAAGTCAAAGCCAGGATTTAAATCCGGGCCACATTGACAACAGGCAAGCGCTTTCAACACGGCGCCAACCGTTGCTCCCCACCTCCCCTCAATATATTGCAAAGTCAAGATGTTTTCCTCTAATTAGTTTTTCTTGGCAATTCTCAGTATCTATGCCACTGATATTAATATAATAAAGGAAATAAAGGGAGATGTAAATAATCAACCATACGAGGACACAGAAAAAACCTGAGCCCCAGATGGGATTCGAACCCACGACCCTCCGTGTTCTAGATCGGATGCTCTAACCTCTGAGCTACTGAGGACTCGTTGGCGAGCAAGGGTCATTTTTGTGGGCTGGACTTGCGAACCGCATCTCGCAGTCACACAGTCCATCACAAGCAACACATTAAGGCTTAACTGTATCACACAGTCACATAAATAGTAAGAAATGGGTGAGACATTTCTTACTACAGTCGAACCCCGCTATTTCGAAGTCCCAAGGGAAATGCAAAAAAAGTTCGAAATAGCGGGGCTTCGAAATAACCGGGGAAGCGTAAAGGGGAAGGGCATTCGATCTTCCTTCGAAATAGCGGGGACTTCGAATTAACCGAGTTCGAAATAGCGAGGTTCGACTGTATTTCTTCTTGTGATGGACTGTGTGACTGCGAGATGCGGTTCGCAAGTCCAACCCACAAAAATGACCCTTGGTCGCCAACGAGTCCTCAGTAGCTCAGAGGTTAGAGAATCCGATCTAGAACACGGAGGGTCGTGGGTTCGAATCCCATCTGGGGCTCAGATTGTTTCTGTGTCCTCTTATGGTTGATTCTTTACATCTCCCTTTATTTCCTTTAATTCTCAGTATCCCTGGATATTTTTACCCCAATAATAAGCAGGTTCATGCTTCCCAATCTCTCCAGTAAATGACGGCTTAATAGAACGGTTCTTGACATTTAAGGAGAAGGGGAGAAATATAACAAAGTGGGTGCAATATGAGTGAAAGAAACAGTTGTTAATTTTTGGTATAGCCATCTGATTGACACTCTAAACATCTTGCTACTTCACTGCACAAAACTGTTATTTTCATCTGTGTTTGTGTGGCATTTAGTATGAAAGGTAAAAAATTATATTGCAGGACATGTTGCTGTTTAGGAACAAAGTATAAAACTTTTCACTTCTTTCTACTGGTTTCCAAACAAACACTCCTCATCTCTCCCTAAAATTCTGAGAAGCATACTGGATGCACCGACGTACATTTTACTCGCTATTCACGTTTTTCACATTGAAAAAATCCTGGGGTGAGCCTGTGTAATACATTTTTACCTGTCAGACTAGTGTGGGCCTGGACAAACATCCTTCTGGGCGTCTTCCGGGCCAGAACTGTTTTTCGAAGAGCGAGAAATTCATCATCTACTGCTGAGTAGCGATCGTACAAAGCTTTTCCGGAAACGTAATCCGCCGTCGACTTGAAAACCTGCGACAAACACCGTGGATGGTAAAATATATGAGTTGGTTAATGATTAGTAGTATTCCCCTCATTCAACGACGTAATAATCTATAGACAAGGCTAGACTCCATACTCAGTGTCAACAGGTTATGTAGGGAGTGCGTGGGTGACACTAGTTGTCGCAAGGGGGTTGCTGGGTAAATTGGCGACAGTAGTTTGCGGACAGAGTTTAAGTCTACCCTCACTGATCGATGCATGGGTACACTGATGAAGAAAAATCTCATTCTCTGTAGCCTGCAAAAAGCAGCGAGAGCAAACAGAAGAAAGGAAACGCAGAAGCAAAAAGCAAATGTGATAAGATGTATAAGTAGAGAGAGACCGACCTCACCTGAAGCTTTTTGAGGAACTTTCCAATAGCTGGTCTGCCAACTGACTCAATTTTTGTTTTATCTAGCTTTATTAACACATCCGGTTTGCCGTCTGAGCCTGTGACACTGGTCAGTTGTACCAGTCCTTCACCAGCTTCAAGGAGCACGCGCAGAATGACATACCGTGCCTGCATGTGAGCCTGGAAAGAGGCAAATATGGCTAATGGTTATGACTTGCCAACCTTATTTTCTCTGTCCAAACCGAAGCTGCAATTTAACTACCTTTTCTCGTAGATCTAATGCCACAGGGTTACCAACTTATTGCTGGAACAAAAACGTAATCGATTTTTGAGCCTTTTGCAGCACAAGGAAAAGAAAACCTGCAGTAACTCATTTGGTTACTCGCTATGCATAGCCAAATTAAAAAAAAACAAAACAAAACAAAACAAGACACTGTGGGAGCGTATATTTGGGCGTCGTTGTACAACGCGTGTGTGAAGTTTTTTAAGTGTATAGGGCTGTGTGAGTAGTGAAGTAGCGTTGTATATTTTAGGGGTTGGTTGAGATGAGTGAAGTGGAAGGCGTGGAGTTATATTAATTCCAAATTGATTTCAAAACTTATAAAGCGAAAATATCTATATAAATATATTCAAATGCGCCATAGGGAAAAAAACACAATAGTAGTAATAATAATAATAATAATAATAAGAAGAAGAAGAATAAAGAAAATTTTGATAACAAAAATGATAAAATAAGATAATCATATATATATACATGTATAATATTATACAAAAACTAATGGCTAAAAGTTAAAAAGAAAAAATCTGTTAGCATAATCTTGAAAATTATAGGCTAAAAACAATTTATAATCTAAGCTAAAAATACAATCTTATAATCTAAGTGGTACAAAATGCTTTTTAAAAAGGTGAGTCTTCAGCACTCTCTTAAAAGTGTCAATAGAAATGGATTCCCTATATATCTTGGCAGAACATTCCATAACTTAGGTGCGGCAAACAGAAAGGCCCGTTCACCGAGAGTTGCTTTGGGCTTAACATTCGGATAACTAGGTAGAGTACTGTCGCTAGAACTTCTTAAGTTATATCTAGATACAGGCTTAGGAGTAATTAACAAACTTAAATACGAAGGTGCCAAGCTCTTAAAAATCTTAAAAACAATCAACAGGATTTTAAATTCAATTCCGAATTTTACAGGCAGCCAATGTAAATCTAACTAATGAAGGAGTAATGAGACAATATTTACTTTCACTGCATACTAATCTTGCACACATGCTCTGCACATGCTGTAGCTTATTGAGTTGATACTCCGACAGGCCATATAAAAGACTGTTACAGTGATGGAATCTGCATGAAATAAAGGCATGAACCAGAGTCTTGGTGTTGCCTTTAGATAGATTGAAATATAGATTGCCATCGCCAGCTTAGAATCAAACCATGAGTCCTAGTTCCTTGCAGACGACACAGAGGTGACAGTTGCAGTCCCGACACGAAGGCTATTAATAGATACTTTAGCTCGTTGCTGCGATGTGCCAATGATCATGAATTCAGTTTTACTATCGTTCAGTTTCAATTTGTCGTTCAGCATCCAATTACCAATGTTTCGACCCTAGCTAAGGCGGCCTCTTGATTTGCATTATCATTAGGACAGAATGATAAATAGAGTTGACTATCGTCCACATAGCAATGGATCTCTAAATTATGTTTGTCCACAATTTCAAATATCGTACTAGCATAGACAATGTTGATGTGATGATGAAGTTGTTTGGCTACCGCACTATCGGTCAGTCATATTGAACGTGGATTAGTAAGAAAATGGCTGTAGTTTGTTAATCAGTGAAACTGAATTTGACATGAAGTAACAAGAAATAGTGTAGTTACAGTCTGTTGAAATGACGTGGTGGTTGTGAAAGATCTTATCAATAGTCAAAAACATATATTTTGTACTTATTTTAAATGTTGTTAGAATTTCTGTTCAGATCAGATAGATACAGCATGGATAAGGGAAAGTTCATTTAATATGGAGAAGGAGGTACGAAGATGTCTGTGGGGGCTGAGATTTTGGGTGTGTGGGTTCGGGGGGCTTTGAAAAATCGGTGAGGTCAAGGGGGAGGGCGAGAAATCTGGCTATAAAACTAAGAGCCTGATTACATGAGCCGGGCTGGCTCGCTTTGCAGAGATCTAGGCACCTTTAGATAAACGCAACATAAATCAACTTTGCGATTACATGACAACCGAGTCAGCCCGGTTAGCTGGGATCCCAGTATTGTGATGCCGGAATCCCGCCTGAAAATGTTACAAGTAAACACGCTTGCCATGGAGCCCGGCGAATAAACCAAGCGAGAAATAGGACAGCGGGCAACACACTACTCATGCGCACTGCTTCCAATCTCTATATGAAAATAGCCCCTCCGGGCTGGCCCTGTTCATGTAATACCGGGATAAAAGTCACCTCGGCAGAATCAGCCAGCCCGGCTCATGTATAATAAGGCCCTTACTGTGAGTTGTATTGTCACGCAGTTTGCACGTGAAAGCTTTAGAATTTGCCGCTTTCGAGGTTCGTGTGTGAGAGAATACGACTTAATCTAGGTAACCCAAGGGTTTTAAAAAAAACTGTCACGCCGAACATTTGCAATGAAATTACGCATCATTCAACTTTAAGATTAACAGGCTAACATCAATGAGTTCCAATAAAATTATCAAGCTGCCGAAAAACTTTTTATGTGGCCACTCATCGCATGTCATTCTCCTCACTGAAACAATCCCTTATTTATCTCATGCATGATCGTGGAATTTTGCTTGACATCTTCTTTGGTTGTCGACAACTGTGGGCTAAAATATTATCAAAACCAATTATTTTTGAAAGATTTACCTTCAAATTTCTGAAAAATTGCCCGGTTTCCCGGTAAGATAAAAATACGGTAAGCTTAAGATTTATTGTAGTTTATCTTTTCCGAGGAAAAATATCGTTCTCTGAGAGGACATGTGCTTACTGGTAATGAATAGTCTTTACAATGAAAAAGGGCAATGACCGGTACCTGCACTGTAGGGTCTGGAGGCGTTGCTTTAGCATGTTCATCGCTTTTTTATTTCTCCGTACCCGCACTGCTGGGAATTGTGTTTCTTTCTTGCAAGGTTGTTGAGATCGTAAAAGTGGGATCAAGTACCCTGCTAGGAAAGCTTTCTTTCCGGCATGGTTTTGTATGAGTCGATTCACGTCGCTTGGCTTGTTCACGTTCGCACGTGTTGGGTGCCTATTGCAACTTTGAATCAAAACAAGCGATCTGGGCGACGCCCAAATAATGATTAAAAAACCACCGGACATTTTTTTGATTGTGCACTCTTTTTCTTACCCTTTCGGGAATCGAAAAAATATCTGCACTTATTACCTGTTAAACAATTGATATACTACTAACACCAACCTGCCTCCATTTGTCGTTTTCAGGGGTATAAAATTCCAGTCCTAGAAGCCCTGCTCGTACCATGTTAAGCCAGTTAATGTACACTATACTGTCTGCAGCTGTACCTTCATGACCAAAGACTCTACAAGGACAAAAAACCACATCCAATTGAGACCATCAGAAAAGCAATATGCCTTTATTTGCATGGCTTATCTCACAGCTCAATGTAACGATAACGACTACCATTTCAATTTATACAAAGTACTGAATACTACGCGCGCTGTGATTGGTCCTTGCCTAAAATCTGTTAGAGTTAATTCAAGGTACAGAATGCTACGCGCCTGGTGTTTGGTCGTTTCCTATCATTTATTAGGGTACAGACACACGAATGACGTCACGAAAAAATTGCTTTCTCTGTTGTGTACAACATGGCGCGGAGTTTTTAGAAGTGTAAAAAATCATATATGAACTGCGGAAATGAAATGAAAATGAAGAAATGATCGTCGCAGTGAACGCAATTTATGCAATTGCGTAAAGAAGCCTGAAAAAAAATTCTTTCACGGGAACATATGAACCCACAATTGACCTGCTCCCAACATCAGTGGCTTCATAGCTCAGTTGGTAGAGAATCGTACCGGTATAGCGAGGTCACGGGTTCAAGCCCGTTGGAGTCCTGGATTTTTTTTTTTTTTCAGGCTTCTTTACGCAATTGCATAAATTGCGTTCACTGCGACGATCATTTCTTCATTTTCATTTTTAGAAGAGTTGGTTAAACTATATCGGATTGAGCCAGTGAAGGCCTCAAAAAAAGTAAGGAAAACGAAAATCTGGGACAAAAGGCGTTGTCTGTGACCTGAAAACGCCTAAACTAGAAGAATTCTTCAAAATAATTGTCATCGCTAAGCGACGGTTTTAAAAATTGATAAAGTGAAGGTCTCGTAAAAAGCTCAGAAAAAGCTGTTTACCAGGACAACAAAGATAAAAAAGACGAGACGAAAAGTCCCGTTGGTGACTTGGAAAATGTCCAAACTAGCACAAATCTTCGAAAAGCAAGCCCCACGAAGCAAGTTTGTTGTTTATGTTTCCTTTCCATCGGATAAGACAAATAGATTTCACGTTGCCGTGCTTCTGTACAGAATTAGATCACAGAAGACTTCAAAACATGCTATCAACGCCACACCTCCCCCGCGGCTCGTGTGCCACTTTTTTTCTTACATTTTGACATCATTGGTGAGCTGAACTAAACAGACGCGCAGCAGCATGGAATCCATTTTTTAACCATTTCATTTACTTCGGAGAAAGCGATGCTACATTATATACAATACACTTTCTTTCATCAAGCTGCTGTCACCTTCCCCTGATTTCTCTGAACATTTAAAACCAAGATGGCGACTTCTCCTTCAGTTATCGCAAGGAAAAATAGGGGACTGAGAATAGTCTAGTATCAACTTGTCAAACTCCACTTAGTGCACAATATTGAATTTATTTTGCTAGATCAACGGAAAGGTGCCGCTACTAATGACGCCATCACGCAGAGGGTGGAATACAAGCATTTATAAAATAACTAAGATAGTACGCGCCCTCTGATTGGCCGAGAGGCGTGTTTGCATGAGAGTATGTAAACATGGTAGTGGCTTCAAGGTGTTTTGCTTTTCGCGCGCTAATCACGCAAGCAGAGATTTGAAAAACTTTTTGAGTTGAAAGCTCGACACATTTACTTTATTTACCCATTTCCTCGTCGGCTGAAACTTGAAAAATCTTCAGAAACATGCTGTGTCAATTTTTTTCCGCTTAAGCTGACATTTTAAGTGAGAAAACCCGTGTTTTTGGAAAGCATCTTTATTGCAAAACAAGAACTGATTGCGTACAAGCTTCATGTACAAGACTTCGTGACTGGTAAGAATTTCTCTTTTAATCATTGCCCTAAACAAGGAGTTTTGCGTTTTTTCTCGGGAACGTTTTTTATAAAAGCAATTGAAAACTTTTTCCCTGTATTTGCATAGCCTGATATAAACACTTGAGTGGTTGGGAGAATTCTTCGTCTCGGGTTTGCATAACTGTGTCGAATTCTCCCAACCCCTCTCGTGTTTAAATCAGGCTATGCTAACACGGAAAACGTTTTCTATTGCTTAAATATCTACGGATACCTGTCCAGTTATTTACGATTTCATTCCCAAAAGACGTGTGTCACATCATTCCAGGGACTTCTTTCTACTTAAGACAATCTACTCCCTAAAATGCTCAATGCCTTATCTAGAGGTAAAGGCCACTGACCTCAGGACCTGTCTGTTTGTGCAAAGATATATCCCGACACACTCCGCACGACATTCTTCATATGACGAACTTAGATCAGCAAACCGCGTGTACCAGGTCTCTCCGTCAGTGTACCAGCTAGTGATCTGGGAACGACAAAAATTTTCAAGATTGGAGTTCGTTATGTTTAAATAAAAACAAAACTTTTACTTGGAATTAATGGTAAGTCAAATTTTTCAAATATTCCCATAAACGTGGATTCGTTCATCCTCAACAATAATTAACAATTATTCTTTGAAATCGAGGTGAATAGTGGCAAAATATTTACCGAGCCGCGAAAGCGGCGAGGTAAATATTCCCAAAGCCACTATTCACCGAGATTGAGAAGAATAATTGTTTTAGTATATACACACGAAGTGATCTCAACAAAATCAGAAAGGAAACCATTCAAAAGTAGGATTTGATTGACAGATCAAATCACGCGTAAGTTTAAAAATAGATCTTTGCAGAATTTTCAAACATGGCAATTCACAAGTTTACTCATTTCGCAAACAACAGCGTAATGGCTTCAATGGAATCGCTAAAAGTTTGAACTGTTTCCTTACCTGAGAAAAAAAAGTAGAGCTGTGTTGTTTTCTGTTGACTCGCCAAGTTTATAGCCAAAAGGGCATGTTGTGTCGTTCTTCGCATGAAGTGCTGACAAAAATGGCGGCTCGGTTGCTCGAGGTAAGAGGTCGTCTTCCTGTATCATTCTTTTTTTCTGTTTACTTGAAATGTAGAATTTCTGCAAACATTTCCTTTTAAATTTGTTTGTCATAAATAAACTTCGATTTTTGAGCCAAAATTTTCTTCTTAGAAAACGCTGAGTTCACGAAACGGCTTCTTCTACGCGAATACACGGGAGTTGTAAACAATCCATCGAGCACAAAACTCCTGCTACAGTAAATTGAAAAACGCCGTATTGAATCCTTCCAAGTCTTTTCTTGCCTTAAAAAAAGTCAGCCCTAGGATTTTGTCGACTTTTAAAAGATCGTTCTCTAAAAAAAACGGGAAAAACACCGAGCTCACACATTATCCACTCGCTAGGAGGTGAATATTGTTGAATAGTCCGAGATAGCGAACCAATCAGATTGCTTAAATCACCAAGATCACTGAGTGTGTATATACTAACTGCGTTTAACTTTATTATTGTCAATTTAGACATTCAAATTTAACCTTTGAGGGCACGTTACTATTTATTTACGACATATAAACAAACAACAACAACAACAACAACAACAAATTTTATTGAAAATTGGAAAATAACTAATTACATTACTTTCCCACCCGCAAAAAGCTTAAAAAATAAAGGCGGGGGGAGGTGAAGACATATTACAAAACAAGATTTATATAGAGATGGACTAAATAACAGTGAAGACACTACTATACAGTAAATAGAATTTAAACTAACATAAAACAAGGCAAGTACACTGAACGATTACGAAGACAGGCTAACTGAGGCATAATATGACACCCGAAACAAGATAACCAAACAAATAGAAGAAAACAGAAGGCACACTTAAACATTAGAAATTTACGAAATGTTACGCGGAGCACTTAAACACACGGCCGTCCATCTTAACCACATCACGTGGTTAAACTATTAAAACAAGATCACATCTTAAGATAGAACCTTTTTCTTTCATAGTTTAATAGCGATAGAGGTAAAAAAATTGCAAGTATCGTCCTTACTTTTTCTCCAGTCTCTGTGTGCTTCACGTTTTCAATATCAAAGTTGTAAGAGCCATCTTGTCGCTGAAAAAGAAAATCAAAATCGAATAAAAATAGATTTCAAACGAAACAACACGTCATCTTGCAAGAGACATGCATTTGAAGATAGTTACCTTAACAAATAGTTTTCCACTTCCATGCCCTAAAAGTTCATGAAGGCCAACCTGAACCTCAAAAGCTGGTGCTTTAAGCTTCGTAAACAATTCCTGGATTTTTTAGATGAAAAAAAAAACAAACAAACAAACAAAGGCAATAACGACAGCTAACGTTTAAATTATGCAAAGAGACTAAAGCAAAGTGGAATTTCCGGCGTTTGAGTGAATACGAATTAGCCGGAAATGAAACATTTCTTAGGCACAGGAGCAGTGAGGACTTAGAACGGAGTGCTATAAAAGGGATGCTTAACACGTGGGAAAGCATTCTAAGCCGACAACTCCTTTAGCCCACGTTATTTTTTATTTATTTGTTTACTTTTTATTTATTTAATTTATTAAGTGGCAAATCGAGTTTCCCGAGGGTTTTAGCTTGTTTTCGTTATTTTTCGTTTGTTTTCGAATAATTATCTGGATTTCATCGTGCTTTGCTGCAAAACATGGTTAGTAAACGTTGGCACGAGTATTTTCCCTATACTGGAATTTTATCCGGCAGGTTTTTTGTGGCCTCCGTTCTGACAGTATTCGTTGTAAACGGTCGCTCAGCTCTGTTCTAGTTTATCAACTAGATATTTGAATGAAATAGAAGTTGTAAAATAACGTATTGCTATAGCTCCTGGTGCTTGAAAGAAACAGCCAAAATAAACTTAACGGTTTTTCGATTCATGTTGTACTGCTTAATGGTGCCGAAATACTATATGCAGTAGCACTGAAATAAAGAATGGCATCTTACTTGGTCTTCGTCACTTAGGAATGTAACTTTCTTATCCACTGTGTGAGCTGCAAGTACATTTCCCAAAGAAACATTCTTGAATCCTTCCTCTTGGCGAATATCATCATCTATAAAAGGATAGAAATAACCAAATACCATAAACTGACGCTGGTGTGTAAACTAGTGTTGAAAAAACCTCTGAAATCATTCCTGTTCGCCTTAGAGAGTTACGCTCAAACATGAAGTGATTGTGATTGGCTGCAAGCTATCAGGCATGACTATTCGAACATGGAGATCGACAGAAAGAATTAGTTTACCTGGGCGCACAATATAACATAGGCACGTTAAACGTGCATGAGCTATTTTGAATGCCTTAGTGTAACTATAATACTTCGGTGTAACCTTACCAAGAGTGATGATTTGGTTTTTGTGCGAAATTGGGTATTGCGCTACATAAATGAAAACGCGAAACGCTCAGCTGAGTCGATCCTCAACCTATATATTCACTTTCCTCTGTCTTTCCCCGTTGCATCTGGTGCAAGTTAAACAAATTGTTAAAGTAAAATAAATTTCTACTCACCAAACGTTGATTAGAAGGAAAACTCCAAGGTTTCCTCGGAGTTTCTTAAGCCAAAATGTGACTCACCGAATACTGAATAGTTACGAAATACCAGGATTTTTATCATTGTGGTAGATGGTTGCATCATCATAATTCACGAGGTTGTCACGTGCGATTCTACTCAGTGAAACAGTCTTTAACTCCGACAACTTATTTCTTCATGTTTTAAAAGCTATTGCTTCTTAAAAGACAAGAGCCTTTTTTAAGGCATTGGTTACAAAAGGAAACAGGTCTTCATACGTCCAAGTTACTATTTATCATTGTGAAAGGCCAATCTGCATGAGATGTACAGTCACACAGCTGGCACGTGAAAGTGTTGGACTTTGCTCCCTTTCGTGGTTCGTACGTGAGGGAATTCGAGTTATCACACAGTAAACTAGTAAACAGAATTATAAAAATAACTCTTGTACACAATTTGCACGTGAAGATGTTGGTCTTTGACCCTTTTACAATTCGTACGTAAAAAAAAGGCAAATTGTTTACTACAAAATTTTCTCAAGCGATTTTAAGAAATCACCTCGGCTTCATTACAACATCTGCAATTAAATTATGTTTCATGCAACGTCAAGGTTGATACCTAATATTTATTAACATTTGTGAGACAGTCTTTAACTCCGAGAACTTATTTCTTTATGTTTTAAAAGCTATTGCTTCTTAAATGACAAGAGCCTTTTTAAGGGCATTGGTTACTAAACGAAACAGGTCTTCATACGTCCAAGTTACTATTATTATTGTGAAAAGCCAATCTGCATGAGATGTACAGTCACACAGCTGGCACGTGAAAGTGTTGGACTTTGCTCCCTTTCGTGGTTCGTACGTGAGGGAATTCGAGTTATCACACAGTAATCTAGTAAACAGAATTATAAAAATAACTCATGCACACAATTTGCATGTGAAGATGTTGGTCTTTGACCCTTTTACAATTCGTACGCAAAAAAAAGGCAAATTGTTTTACTGCAAAATTTTCTCAAGCGATTTTAAGAAATCACCTCGGCTTTATTACAACATCTGCAATTAATTTATGTTTCATGCAACGTCAAGGTTGATAGCCTAACCTTTACTAACTTCCAAGAAAATTATCAAACTGCCGAAATATATTTCTACTTGTATCATGTTACTCCACTCAATACAACAGTATCTAATTATTGTGTCAACTAGCTTCTTCCAATTTTATTCCCTAACGCTACTGTTTCTACTTAAGTTACGCATCTTTACTAAATAAAATACGTTTCAGAAACTATAATACTTAGTATGCAGGAAGGATGTATCATGTTGTTCACTTATTATTCTTTTGTTTTGTTTTGCCAGAACGAAAAAGGTCTGTTGAACTTTGTAAGCGAGAGAATAATATTTTTAAAGCTTGTTTACAGGATTAACAATACTCGGTACAGCTTTCACAAAAATAAGCTGCCTTTTTAAACTTCTAAAACCACATTTTATAGGGCGCATACTTTCGAATTAAAGTCTATATCTAAATATCAATTATTGCTTCATTGGAAGAGCTTTGAAAATATATGATCTTTTATACTCTACCCAAGTGAAGCGGGTGAAACAGAACTCATACTGACGTGCGTTGTACAGATAGCCGAATTAGGTCAGAAATGCCTTGAAGCAGCATCCATACTAAAATATGAACCCTTAAACAGCTGCATCACTGTACACAGCGTTTGAATCATGAAGATATTTAACATAATGTTTCCAAACACCTGTAGCCGTAATAAAAGACGAAAAAATTGTGAAGAATCAAGATGGCGGTCTCAAAGTGCCCTTGTTCGACCTTTACCAATGTCATGTTTAAGTAGATGCTAAGATCTCATTGGTTCCTAAGCATCAACTAATAGTACCTTCAACCTTATTGGCTCTTGCAACAAACATCCGAACATACAAAGTTACAAAGATACAAAGTTACAAAGTTACAAAGTTACAAAGATACAAAGTTACAAAGCCACAAAGATACATACGCTCACACCACTGACATATGAGCTATTTTTTCAAAATAGCTAAAAAATGCACCCATTGACTAAAGTGATGAAGGTTTACAGCCAACTTACAGTTAGGAATGTTAATTCCAGCTGGTATCCCACTACTGCCGAAGCCAACTACATCAAGTGAAGTAAAGTCAGGGCGTAAAAACGTATCTTTTTCATATTCACGAGGCCACGGAAGGTCTGGAAGAAGCTTCTCAGCACTAGAAACTAGTGTCGAAAACTTGGCACTCATTTCTTTGTTCACGACAGCAACAAACCCTGCAGGAAGACGGCGTTCAAAATATAGGTTAAAAATATGAGTTACACTGTAGTGGAACAGTCCTTTGCACCACATTCAGTTGTCGATAGAAAAATTTGTGACAGTTTTTTGGAAAAGTCCACTGATTTCTTTTTTTGTAAATTGGGAAGAAGGAGGACTGCAGAGTTTCTACAATTCTCAATGTTTTGTTTGTTGGGTCCCAGTCTTTTGTCTCGTTTGTTTGTTTGTTACTGTCCCACCGTCGCTACACAAGCGTTTGTAATTATTACGGGTGCTGAGCTATAAACACAACAACAACGACATTAACTATTTAAAGCAGGCTATGTCATCACGAATCAATAAAGGCAGCATTGTTCACTCAGCAAACTAAAATAAACAAAACTAAAAAGATGCCTATAAAATACGAGCTAATCTGAAGCGGAAAGGTGAAAGAATGAATGTAGCACTAAATAAGGAAACAGGATGAAGGAAGTGAGAAGTTGGCTTACCCTCATATTCTGCTCGAACACCAAAAGGATCTCTGTATGTCTCAATGAACCCTATATAGCTACAGTATAGAAAAACAGTAACGTTGAATTTTTCAGTCTGATAAGTAAATCTACAACTATACGCGAATGAGAGCATTGGAATGGTATTGAAGAATAAGTAAAATGAAAATAAGCAAAACCTCGCGGCGGTCGAGAAAAGAATTTGTCTTTTAACTTGAAAAGAAAAAAAAGTCTGCTCATTAACATTCTTAAGATGGGACTGATCAAGCTTGATCATTAAGATTACTATAAATCAAAATTGCGGTCAACCTGCATGCATACTTCAATAAAACTTTGATACACGGTGAAAAATATAAGAGGGATATTCAAAACTTCAACGAAGCGCGTTTAAAGAACAAGAAATACAAAAACTTCTTTAATTTCTTCAGTAACTGGCGAAGCTGAAAATAAAAAGTTCAACTCCAGCAATTATGCAACAATGTAGAATTAACTTCCGTTATGTTCTTACGTTTCTACAATGGGTCCTTTATCTCTTATCCAAAATCTAGATCCATCTTTATGCGCATTAATAGATCCCGTATTGAAGCTGTGGATGTAGTTCTTTAACATGGACAGTTCATTGTCATTAGAAACAAACTCCTGAAACAAGACCACGTAAAGGTTAACACAACAAACATCTTTGCTGATGTACTCTTTCAGTGTACAAAGATATCTCGTTATCTTGCTCCAACCATTGACTACGCCACGTTTTATGCTGCCAGACAGCAAGACAGTGACTAGAAAATGGCTCGACTAGCTTCAAAACACATTTTTCGGCAAAATTCTCAAGGGCGAATGGGTTAATTTCATGTTTTTCCAGGTTTTCCATGACCTGTACGAACCCTGCCTGGGCTAATTTCGAAGGTACGGTTGAGTAAAAAAGCTGGCTTGACTAATAAAACAACCTGCTTAGCTTTTCCTTCGCTACATCCAAGCATACATGTATTTCAGAAATTGGCTTACAAACTGAATTGATAAATAAATTCACCAACTGTAAAAAGATTGAAAAGTTGACATTTGAGGAGCTAGCCCTTTGTCATCAACTCAATCCATTTAAAGTGTGGTAAATTAACTACATGTATATAATTACAATGCAACACCAGTTTCTTTTCAGTTGAAACTAACTCTTTCATTAAGTTACTATAAAACAATAAATAACAATTATTCACCGAAGTGAATATTTACCGACGCCGCGAAGCGGCGCGGCAACCACCACTACTAGCCACCTCCACTTCGGTGAATAATTGTTTTAGGGCCTGTTTACATGGAGTGGGGGACCCTGGTCTAGTGGGGTTGGTTTCTTTTGTTTTCACGCTCTGGAGCACACAAAACAAAAGAAACCTACCCCACTAGACCGGGGTCCCCCACTCCATGTAAAAAGACTCCTAGTATATGCTAAAAAAGTGAGATAATTGAGCACAAAAATGATAATTTTTAACTCATTTACTGTTGCCAACGATTACAATTTTAACGCACAATGACCGAACGGCGGCGGTCGTCGCTTTTTCTTGGTGACAAATACAACTTTTGAAGGCGTTTGTTTAGCTCTAGCGGGAAAGTTTCTTCAAAAGGAGTTGTGAATTCTTTTAGTATTTAAAATCATTCTGTAAAAAAGATTATTAAATTTAGTTTTCAGCTTCTTTATGAACAAATCAACTAAACAGAGTAACGCAAGACTTAAGCTTAATTTGCATTTGTAAACAAAAAACTTTTTCACCGGTTTTATCGATAAATTCAAGTGAAAAAGACAAGGCTTTACCTGTTAAAACTTCCAAACCGAACTTCGTCACCTTCTTCATGTATTTCAGGAATAGTTTGCTTGATCAGTTGTGAAATTTGTTAGTTTGTTACGGCAGCAAACCGGGAAGGCATTTTGCTCGCAACATACGCGAGTTTGGCGTCGCTCGCTCGGAGGAACTGGAGGTGAATCAGTAGATAGTGCAGGATATTCACTGATTGAGTAGCTAATCAGAGCGCGTGAAAAACACTATCCACTGTTTTAGTATATACTAAATATTATTTTTGTTAGTATACATGTAGTTTATACCTCTGCTCTTTCCAAATTTTCTACAACCTTTCTCAGAATTCCAGAATAATCGCCTCTCTCAACCCTAAAGGTGCAGCCTTTAAATTTATGTGAGCCAAGAAGAGATGCCACTTTATCTTCCTCTCCACTGGCACCAAGACATGGTTCCGCTAAAAAAAATTCATGGAGAGATCACACACAGTGCACTGCCAGGGCTTCATTTACATTTTTATTTTCTCACAATTGGCTGGTTGTTTGGTTCAAAGTGGACACAAAAACTGTCTTGTAAAGTGCTTGCAAGATGTAAATAATTTACTGTGTTGTTTTTTTTTGGATCTAAAAAAAGCCTTTGACACCATGGACCACTCTATCCTCTTCCAGAAACTCAAGTTTTATGGAGTTAGGTTCCAAACGTTTATTAGCACGGTTTAAATCATATCTTACTGGGCAAAAACAGAAAACTTTAGTAGACGGTGAACTTTGTGATTTCTGTACGTTGACATGTGGAATTCCTCAAGGATCATTTCTTGGTCCACAGTTGCTTATTTTATACATAAAATAATGGCCTTTGCCCAATGTCAACCGTACTCAAGGCCCAGAATGTTTGCGGACGACATCACTTTAATGCGTACAGCCGAAGATGCTGATACCTTATAATTACAAGTTGAAATGAATTCTGATCTAAACAAAATTCAGACACGGCTTCAGGTGAATAAGCTTACTTTAAATGTCAAATAGATGCTTTATTCGATCTACAATTCCAATGATCAGCGGAGATTTTTTAACACAATGGAAAGTGATCACCATGGGAAAGGGGAGGGGAAGTGAGGGGGAAAAAAAGGACAATTTTGAACTATTTCATATTTTGGGGTAGAAGTCTTTAGTTTTAGGTCTCTTAGCTTACGAAGGAACCACCTTCATGCTCAACCTTTCAAGTTAAGGCAAGACTGTATGTAAATTTTATTGCGGTACGGAAATGTAATTTTCTCGACTCTTTTTTGTTTTGTTTTGTGTACAAAATCTTTGCCGTAACGATTCTGAATATCATTCCTTAAAATGAAAGGACGTTTCAGTCATGAATGTTGACACCTTTGAGAGAAAGCAGTTCAGTCTCCAGTTTTGCTTTAGCCTGATTCAGGTAACTTACATGGTATAGAGAGTTTCTTTTATTTGTTGCCTAAATGCCTTTTGTCCATTTGTACTAAACGATTCGCTTATTTGCTTTGCTGAGGAAAGAGGAATAGGACTCCTGGTATGTATGTGGTATGTGAAGATTTTCATTTCATGAAAAAACTTTTACCCACGACATTTACCCACACCAACCACCCACACCCATGACCCACGACCTCTACCCGGCTACCCATGCTCCATGACATTTAGCTACACTCCTTTTACACAGGTACACTGTAGAATATGCCTATTGGACTTCTAGCTAGTATTAAAGTGCGCCATTTCACATCCCCTAACATGTGGTGGTGGACGTACGTATAGACGAACCAAAATTTCTTGAATGCAGAGATAACCAAATTTTGCCCATGGTGCTCCGCTGTGCACACTTTGGGCGCGTGAGAGCTCCACTACAACTGTACAATATTAGTATTTTTATTCAATTTTTTTTGTTATTTGAAGAGTGCCCTGCTCTCTCACACCTCTTTGATCATTGATTCATTCAAGTCTTACGAGAACCATGTTTACATAAAAAGATCTCATATTTCCTACCCTGGGTTTCTTCATTATTGCACGTTAATGTGATTAATTCTAAATAAGTGCTTTAAAAATTGAGGAGAAAAAGTGTGAAGTTACAAAATTTCCATACATGTAAGTGCCAAGATACAGGTAGCATCAACTTAAGCCAGACACTAAGCTATAAAGTTAACTTTTCAGTGTGTGGAGTTCTGGATCAATACTAACTATGAGAAAGTCAAAAACCTACAATTACTATAACTGTGAGCATAATTTGTCACCCATGATATTTAACAGGTAACTTTATTGTATATGTTGTGGTTCAATTTTATCCTTGGTTTAAATTTTATTTTCCTTTGTGTTTGGGTATGGTATTGTATGATAATGAGTTTGAAACAAAAGAAAATAAAATTTAAACCAAGGATAAAATTGAACCACAACATATACTTGTGAAATTAGGAACTATTTCACTTGCAATTTGTCCAAATCCTAATAACCAATCAGAATTTGGACAAAACATGCATGAAATTACACCTTTTGCTGTTCATTACGAGAAAATATTCATTCATTTGCGTGAAACGGCGACCAACAGCGCGAAGATACATTCATTAGCGCGACAAAGCGAACATTTGCACATAAATCAGATTCAATAACGATTTTTGCATTTTAATCAACATTCACTAACATTTTTGGGCATTCATTTGCGTCATTCTGCATACAAAAGAGAAAAATATACTTACATTAACGCCAACAATCGAGTCATTAACATTATCTTGAAAATCATTAGGGACAAATAATTATAGACAAACATTTAAGTGCAAACGCTATTCATTAACATTTTTATGACACTGTTTGCAATTCAATAGCATTCCTGGACAGCTTGAGAATGGATAAGACAAACATTAATGCGCTTGGACAATCAATTGAGCGTTCTTTACATTTAATAGACAAAAATCTATTCTCAATTAAACAATACCAATTCCCCCCCAAAATTGGCCTGAATTTGTTCAAAGAATCACGCCGTATTTTGCCACTGTGTGTTCGTTGATGGCTGCGGCTATACATTTACCCTATTCGGCCAGAAGTCATGGTAGGGCGCAACAGGGAGTGGAGGGCGTACCGCCAAGTGTGCGGCCAACGAGATGAAACTTGACTATGCGCATGGCAATATCACCTATCAAATTAATGTTTTCCTTGGCAGCTGCTGGAGTAATGAATACTGTGTCAGTTTTTCGGTGACTTTCTGGCACGGGCGAGGAAAAAATGGATCCCGATAAGTCGGTGGTCTTTGGATATGACGGGGTGCCAGCCCACCTAGATTTGGCCATTCCTTCCCCATATGTACACAACTTATGCTTCCCAACTCAACATCGTAGAAAAGGATTTAAGTTGTCTGAAAGTGATACCAAAGGCCGACATCTCGAGTCCGGAAATTCAAAGATGTATATCAGGATTGAGAGGGCAAAGCCCCAGCAATCCCACTAGCGGAGTTTGGAAACAACAACTGCAGTGCTTGCTGAAGCTCTGCACTGAAACATGACATTGTGACCGCAGCTAAATGTGCTAAGGGGTACCATTCCACACAAACCTACCTCCCAAAATGTTTAAATAGTGAGGTTTTTGAGGGATATACATTTAACTGACTGAAATTCAGGCCAAATTTGTTTGAATTTCTATTGTTTAATTGAAAATCGATTTTTGTATATTAAATGTAAAGAACACTCAATTGATTGTACAAGTGCGTTTAATTAATGTTTGTCTTATCCATCATGAGGTTGTCCAGAAATGCTATTGAATTGCAAACAGTGTCATAAAAATGTTAATGAATAGTGTTTGCACTTTAATGTATGTCAGCTGTCCCTATTGACTTTCAAAATGGTGTTAATGACTTTGATGTTGGCATTAATGAAAGAATATTTTTCTCTTTTGTATGCCCAATGATGCATATGAATGCCCAAAAGTGTTATTGAATGTTGATTAAAATGCAAAAATCGTAATTGAATCTGATTTATGCGCAAATGTTTGTATTTTCGTGCTAATGAATGTATCTTCGCAAAATTGGTCGCCGTTTCACGCAAATGAATGCGTATTTTCTCGTAAAATGAACAGCAAAAGGTGTATTTTGTTATTTCACTTGTCACCATTTGATTACACAGACTAACAAAAGTCAATGGACTTTCTAAAAAAAAAAGTAATGACAAATTGTAAAAGAAAAATAACTTATCTTACCAGTAGCTACAACTGATGCCAAACGAAGAATGTAGGTTACTTGGCCATTCTTTTCTTCCTTAAACAGTCTGGTATTGTATGTTTCTATTTCCTGAAATAATAAATCCACAGATACTTTAATCCTGGCTTTAATGTTGAGTGGCTACTAAAAAATATTCTTAGATATCCCTCAATAACTTCAATGGAAATCCTGGTAAGGAATTAACATAGATTATCTTAAGCCACACTTTGCAAAGATAAGTAAGGGAGACATCTTGTTACAAAAACAAAGACTCTTATGTGGGGACAGTATTATACAAACACTAATGGTAAATGCAAATAATGTATTATTTAACCTAGTTTAATTCTCAATGTCCTTTGTCTCCTAGCCCTAATTTATGAATAATCATGACTAGGAGACAGAGGAAATTGAGAATCAACCTAGGTTAAAACATTTCAACATGAATAAGGTCTCAACATTAACTTTTTCATTCAGGCACCAGCTGGCTAACATTTTGGTCACCAATTTATGACTTCAAGGCAGTATGACAGTTATGTCAGAAGAAAATACTGGTACACTGAAGGAGCTCCTTTAGTTACTTCTTCATTTCCTGGAGTACTAGTAAAATCTGTGAAAGACTTTTTCAGACTGAAATCCTCATACACCAGTGGAAGAGGTTTCCATGCATGGCTTATTTATTAGGCTCACTTCTTTGCCAAATGAACTACTTGGATTATTCAATGATGCTTGATGTGTCCAACAATATGTTCAATCAGTTTCCTTAGTTTGTACAATTTTACTCTTTGCTTTTATTTTTTATTCACCTGTACATTTGTTCATACAACACTACGTATACCCTTGTCTCAGTCTAAGGCCCGGTTCACTGAACTTTTCATGAGCCAAACCTAATTCGAATTAAGGCCGACCCAAATTATTTAGACCGGCTGAATTGATTCAGATGCCTATCTTAATTCCAGCCAAACTTAATTCAAAAGGAGAAAATGCTCATTTCGGTCAAACTGCTTGCAAAATACATTATAATAATTTATGCATTAGGTTCGGTACAAGAAAAGTTCAGCATCTAAATTAAAGCCTTTCCAAAGAAGCTCAAAGGAAATTCCCGGCCGGGCTACATGAAAAGAACGGCTGAGCTGTTCCAAATTGAAACAGGCGTTCCTAATTAATTCAGAAGCCAAACTTTTCATGTACCTAATTCAAAGTATTAGGTTTGGTTCATGAAAGGTACAGCATCTGAACCGGGCCTAACATCATACACATATATTGAAGAGACAATCTGACATATGGCAAAAGTTGTGCATTGTAAGTCTTACATTATCTATGCTTCTCCTTGACAAAAGGTAATTTGTTCGCGCGAGTTTTTGAGTAGCTGGAAAACACAGAACGATACTTTGTTTTACCACCAGTAAACTCATTACTCTATTAATTAGAGATGTGATTGGAGATTTTTTATTAAAACATAAGGTGACTGGCCTATATATTGGCAACCATGTCTTAACATGTAGCAGCCATCGCTCAAATTTTAGTCCCACTGGTGAATAGAGAGTTATAATTTCGAGCCCTGTGAATTTAATTTTGACCAAAAACATTTTTATACCCCTAACTTACATTGTAAGAAGCCATCAATCGTACCTTTTCTTTCATAAACTCTTGAGCAAATTCAGCATCAGTCTTGGCACAGTTACTAGAATAGTATGTTGAAAGGCCCTAAAAAGAATAGGTTGAAAGTATTACCTTTTCCAGAAATGAGTGGTGGCCAACAATAACCACAGAGGCATAAAAGAAGTTCTTTTTCAAACATGGTACCCATAACAAGTAATATATGACTGACACTATTTTCCAACCAGTAAATAGGTTTCACAATACTCAGCAGCATACATAACCACAGAAACAGGCAACAAAGACCTAAATTTGTGTAGTTTTTATTTAGTATTAATAAACTCAAGTGTTGATTAGGAAGCAAACATTCCACTAAAGGAGGAAAAATTGCCGGGCGTCAGCTCGCTGTGTTATTTTACCAGTAATTTAAAGTAATTATAAAGCAGGTGGATTGACAAATCTTTTGAATACCTGTTCTCCAAGGCCTAGCTGCTGTGTTCTGGGGTTGAGAGAGAACATTGCATCCTCACAAGCATTCCATAACTGTTCCATTCTCTTAGGATCGTCTTCATAGGCCTTGCTTGAGAAGATGATGCTTTGAAGTTTTTCCTTAAAGATTCAAGCAAAATAAGGTTTTACCACTCAGAGGGAAAAAAAAGCCCACCTGTAAATTGGGGGCATGAAAATAATAATTAAACTATCCCAATCTTCAAGACTACAAGTAAGTCAGGTATATTGTACTACAACCCAAAGAAATCATTCAAGATCAGACAGAAAAAGAAAACAATGAAGAGGAAAAAGATTAGCTTCTTTGTTGACACAATATCATCACAGCCTGAATGTCTATTAACATGAAACACCATGTATAATCAGCAGGTAACTAGAGAAATGAGCCTGACAGTTTCAGATATAATTACCTTGGGTAAATCTGGAACAAACTTGGTATCCCCAAAAGACTTGTAGTTACCAAGGTTACCATAGAAAGCAGCAGCATATATCAAGAAATTCTAAGAGATTAAGAGAGGACGTTTTTTTGTACATAAAAAAAATTCCCTGATAACGAATAAACTACAACACAACTTACACACTGTACATTATAGTTTCAGATATCTTGATCACTTACCTCTGAAGGGCAAATTTTATTGTACCAGACCATGATTTTTTGCTACTCTAGACTTTGAATGCACAAAAATCCCCTAGTTTAATATTGCAGACTAAATATGAACCAGACACTCCAATCACTATACTACCATATAATTCTATCAATATTCTAAAAATAATATCCTCAAGCTTAGATTTCAAGGCTGTAAAAGACAAGCCTGTGTATGCTGATAAATTATATGACAGTACCCTCTAAACACCGCTTTCTTCAAAGTGAACAAAGACTCCAGCAGTCTCACAGTCATCCAATTTGCATAATAAATTCTGACATCTACTACGGGACTTATACCTGCCAACTTTTTCTGAGATATAAGCGTGAGATTTTTATCCTGGGAGTGCTGGGATTTTTGAAGACGACACGATCATTTCCAAAGATTCCCGAAGAAGTCCGAAGTCTTCCGAAGAAGTCCGAAGACTTCCGAAGTCTTCCGAAGACGTCTGAAGTCTGCCGAAGGCGAAGTTATCGAGTCCCAGTCTTAGGACACGTATAAAAGCGAGCTTGCTCCCAGTGCTTTTCACTTCAAAAATCAGAGATCGTGAGGAAGGTATTGTCATTTATTCATTTCACATATGGTTTTCATTCCTTACATGGGTCTGAGTTAACATATTTTTTGAAATTGTGTCAAGCAAGACGGCAAAAACCCACATTTTTCGATCAGGCGTGAGAAATTGGCCCACAAGCGTGAGCCGGCGTGAGATCAAAGTTTTCAACCCGCAGGCAAGAGACTCACGCCTAAGGCGTGAGAGTTGGCAGGTATACGGGACTGCGGGACTGCAGGAGCACTAGTATACCTCATTCTAAGAGTACACCAGTTACTTAACATTGACTTCAGGAGTGAGGGACTGCAGAAGCACCAGTTGTATACCCAGTTATTATTCACTTTTCAGCGACTGCAGTAGTGTGGGACTGTAGGAGCACTCGGTTTACTCACACTCACTCACTCACTCACTCATGCCCATGAATGCCTTCAGGCATGCAGGGCAGGAACAAAGGATCACTACTCCTGTCTGTTCTAGGCCAGCTTCTGAATGGTTCCCTAGGTATGCTGTAGGGTCTTGAACTCCCCTTCCACTGTCTGACTCCAGGTGTTCTTGGGTTGTCCCCACTTATGTTTTCCTTCTGGTGTCCAATGCTGTAGGGCTGTGATGCTGCCCTGCTCTCTGCGGGTGACATTCCGATCCATCCCCATCACCTTCGTATGATGATGGTCTCCCTGCTCTCTTGGTTACAACGGGAGAGAAGTTCTTGGTTGGAGATGGTCTCAGGCCAGAAAAATGCAGGATTATCACTTTTCAGCGACTGCAGGAGTGCAAGACTGTAGGAGCACTCATTTTACACACTTTTATTTTAGTTTAAGTATTGCTGGGTTGCACGTGACGTCACGGCGGCCATGTTGGGGGTCAAGAACAAAAGCATTTCTCTCCTCTGGGAACTAAACTCTATTTTCATGTAAATTCTTCGAGGAAATATTCTTTTGTTTTGACCCCCAACATGGCCGCCTTGTCACGTGGTTGCAAACCAAGAATTTAACAATAGAACACGACTGTGGGACTGCGGGAGCAGTTTTCAATTCCAAGCAAGACAATTAGTGGGCCGGATATTCTGCAAGTACTCCACTTCTTATTTGTAACTTACCTCTACTTCATCCTTGGAAGGACCATTTTCAATCCGTAAAAGTCTCTCTACAAGCTTCTCTATAGGTTCCGCATGGAATAAGTTTTGTAAAAGTAAAAAGATTCCTGGTGACTCAGGAGAAGTCTGAAGCAAGCAAATGAGAGAACCCTCCCATGACGCTCGACACAGGTAATGAGCATAAAGCTTTTCTTTTTCTGTTAGTCCAGAAAAGGCAGAGCCGCAGTTTAAAAGATTTATATCAACCTCGCGAGAAATTATGTATTGAGAAAAGTCATCCTTCTCAGAGGCCATCTTGAGACAATCAGCTGGGTGAGGTCTGGCACGAGCTCAGCTGGTCAGCGGAGAGTAATTTTTGGAATAACTATAATATGTAAGCAGGGGGGGGTGGTGAACTTGGTAGTTTGTTTGTCCGGACGATCTTGGCCATCGTGACGTCACGAAGGGAGAAGCGCGCAACTTCGAGGAGTTTTCGAAAATGGCGCCGTTGTTATTTCCAAATGCTACTTTTAAAGTTGGTTTTCCTGGATATTGACGCTCCAAAATGGTTTTTGTCACGGTAGGATAGTGCAGTTCCAACATCTCTTTCCGAAAAGGTGAGTGAAATGTGTATTAATCCGAAAAATAACGCGTATAAGAGCTGTAAACAGTTTCGGTCAATTTCCTCGAGTGGAATAATGTGCCGCAAAAGTTTGCATGTTCGCACAGTAATATCGCATTTTCTCGAAATCGGTGAGGTGTTGAACATCGAAACTTGGCATAAGGGTGGGTTACTTCTATTGGAAAACATTGTCTCTGAAGTTAATTGAGATAAACTGGCAGAAAAAATGATCAGTCCATTCGAGTGTGCCAGCGTAGCCTCTAAGCTGATGCAATGGTATTCATTACTTTGCTGTTATCTCCAATAATGCCAATAGTATCACCTATTCAAGCTGTCTTTTCGGGATAAGTAAATTTTAAAGTAGTTTCTGATAGAGGGAAAGTATAGTTGCAACAGCTCTTTCCGAGAAGGAGAGTTAATTGTATTATATTCTGATGATAATTACCTCGTAAACAGCCTAAACAGTTTAAGCCAATCTTTTCAAGTGGAATATTTTTCGCAGAAATTTGCATGATCGCATATTAACATCGCATGTCTTAGAAAATCGGTTTGGTGTGGAAATTCGAAACTTGGCAGAAGGGTAGATCAGCAATGGTGGAAAACATTGTCCTTGATGTTTAATGGGAGAAATTAACAGTAAAAATGATCAGTCCATTCGAGTGCGCTTAATATTGATATAAAGAGATGACCTCGACTCGGTTACCCCGGCACAATGTAAGTCAATTATTTTTCGGTTTTAAGAAAAGTAAACCAAAGACTTCCCTCAACACTTAATGTATCTATAATAATTACACCAGGAATATATATATTTTTAACACTTGAAGGTTGTACCACATTGTTGAAGCAAAGGATATTTCTCTGTAATACCTATAAGCTTACATTAAGTTTTCATAAATAGCAAAAAAAATTAATAAGATTTACATACAACTCCAAACATGTACATCTGTTATGCATGAAGCAATTTCATATCGTTCCATATCAATAGTTAGTGCGAATGGAGTCAAACATGTACAGTGAAACTTGTATAATGTAAGCGGACACCGCAGAGAATGCTGTAGTGCCCACTTAATACAAAGTTTCTTCCTACTACATACAGGTTTCGATAGAAAATGTCATATGAGGCAGACCTGCCAACTCTCACAATTCAGCCGTGAGTCTCACGATTTTTTAACTTTTCTCACGGTCTCACGACAAAACTCCCAATCTCATGGTTTTCTGGGAAATATTCTATATTGAAATATTACCTTGTTGAATAAAAACATAAATTTTGTGGGGAAATTCTTGTGCCTGGATAAGCTTTGACTATTTTAGCCATGAAGTTGTCTTAGCCCAAAGAAATGACTCTGCTGTATGTTTCGTCACAGTGATAACCTATTTTCTGGCCTCTTCAAGCCATCAAAGAAAAAGCGGCATCTAATTTGTTACATAAGGGACCACACTAAAGCAAGGTTATATTAAAATAAACAGTTGATTCCACTAATGGAAAATGGGTAGTTTAATTTTGATCGGGAAAAAATAGAATCTCACTACTTTTGGTAGAATCTCCCGATTTTTTTTCATGAGTCTACAGATTTTCCTTATTAGGGGTTGGCAGGTCTGTGTGAGGAGCTAAGTACCATTCAAATAAAAGGCAGAAACATTTGGAATACTTCCAGAGATATGATGATATACATTTGCATTAATATCTTTATTTGTGTGGAGCAATTAATTAAAGCTAGATTGTACCTCAAATTTTAAGATATCAAATGAGTGAAACAAGCTTTATACAAACAAAAATGAAATGAGAAAGTACTGTAACTCATTTATATAATTTACAGAAGTCCCCTGGTGACACCCGCCAAGTGCTGATAGGGCAAGACTCCAAATCTCATGGTTTTCTGGGAAAGCAAAAGGCATCTTAAAATAACAAAAGGCACATAGGGCTCAGCCGAATGGTACCATAATGACATCAACACGTCTGGAAACAGGCCTTTTCTCCGAAACTCGCCCCATTCCCCTATGGCTATTTTTATTTGCGTTTACCCTACCTCACCTCCCCTCCCCATACCTGATGAAACAAGGCTTTCAACAGTTTGTTGAGATAGGATGCTTTTTGTTTTAAAGGATGAGCTCACCATATTTTATTATCGTAGAGATGGGGGTAAGCTAAGTTAACAATAATAGACAGATTATTATAGGTGGGTTACTCATTTTTACAGCTATCCCTGGAAGATGAAATGGAAGTAAGGAGCTGACTGGCAGCCACTGAGATTGAGCTGAGGAGAAAGGAAATTGAAAGAGAAGAGAAAGAGTTGAAAAGAAAAGAAGAAAGGTTAAAACAAAAAGCAAAAGATATTAAAAACACAGTAATAGAGGCGAAGAGGGTAGCTGCCCAACTGCAACGAATGGCAGGGCAGCTAGACTGCTTGGCTAACCAAATTCTAGAAGAGACCAAAAATTAAAGAAGAAGTAAAAGAAAAACACCAGTGTAAGAAAATTTTATTGATAACAAACCGTTTCTTTTAATCAAAGTCAATGTGCAAAGTTTTTAAATGTAAACAAGTCTAAGTCAGACCTGTTATGCAAGAAAGAAAACACATTTGTTCAGTATATAAAAAAAAAAGGAAACTGGTTCTTCTAATTTCTTGTATCCTGTATGGTCTCTTCTTGCTCGATGGAATCCACTCCATCTAACATCCTCCACTTCCCACACTGCACGACTCTCTTCGTGGAATCTATTATACTAGATCTTTACAGACATCCAGTAAGCAGCACCTCCTCCATCATACACTGCTTGTTTTTTCTCATCATCTACAGAGTATTCCCAACTAAGGAAGCACCTAATTATAAAATCAGTCAGATAAAGAGAGATTATTTATATATACAAAAGTCAAAACAAAATAAATAAAGGCAATATTATCACTTAAAATCCCTAATTATTTGTTAAGCATCTCTTAAATCAGATGTTATAATGGTTTTCCTCACCTACTTCCTAAACTTCACATTAATATAGGTGAGTTAAACCACAAACACCACCCCCGCCTCCCCAAGCAATGGTAAAAAAATATGTCTCCCTTGAATTATAAATTTTTGTAACTTCAAGCAACCTCTCAGGATAATCCAAAGACTGATTTCTAATCTTAAACCAATAGCTAAAAGGCAAGGCTATGTGAAATATATCAGCACAGGCAGTACAACAGCAAATTTTAAAGAGGGGCTTTAGAGCTATTATAATGGACCACCTATAGTCATGGAATGATTGGGTCTTTACTAAGTTACACCTACTGAGAAATTACCAAAAATTACATCAGCTGGGTGATAAAACTGTACGAGCAGGCCCCGAAGATTGTTGGAACTGGACAGTGTCACTTGATGTAACTGACAATAGCATGGAGTCCAAGTAAGTTAAAAAGCATCAATGATTGAAAATTAAACTGATGCCCCTGCACTCCCACTCCCAGTAGATCCCCTGCCTTGACATTACCTAATAAACATACATTGATACTCGTGTCATTTTCTGAACTCGTGTAGTTATTGAACTATATTATCATTCTTGAACTTTGGTGTCTTTATTGAACTACACAAAAAAGGAAAACCGAAAAAAAAAAAAAATGTATCTTTAAAGAAGTCTCTTTTATATTGTAAAAGTGTGAGAAGGATGATGATATTCATCGCATGAAAATCCTGCAATTTTTTATATCCTTAGAAGTTTTTTCCCCCCCACCTCATTTTTAATATGCGGACGCCCGAGGAAACACATTTTCAATATTACACCATTGAAACGCTTACCAGTGTCCGTTTTCTTGGCTTTTTCTAGTTTTTTTTTTTCTATTAACTCTGTAAAGAGATTAAGGCAAAGCTACATACCCATCCTTTCTGCGGATTCTCCTCCTGGACTCTCTGCATAAAGCCCTAAAAATGTTGATGTTGATCAAAAAGTTTAGCTCACGGCACTTTACCCCAGTGATAGATTCCGTTTGACTATACATGTACAGGATAAAAACCATGTTTTCCTTTGTTTGTGGGGCGAAGAAGCAAAAAGAAAGGCAATGTGAACTTATCTCTATCATGAGCAATGAATGTTTCGACAAAATGATCGTAATTTATAGTGAAAAGTTGCAATACAATAAGCTATAATAATATCCTTGGTTATCGCCCGACGATTTGATTCAGTACGCTTTACTAACATTTTGATACGTTTGACTCAAACAGGAAATCCTTTCAAAACCCTTGAAGATTATAGCCCATACTCTATATAAAAAAAAAAACACTTGCTTCTTACATTTGTTTAGTTTTAATGAATTGTTTACACAATTTGATAGTGTAGTATTAACATCATGACGCTATGTTTCGTGACCTGTCCACGCCACTTTCGCAATTTTTGTAAACATCCCTGAGGTTTGCGACTTTTATCCCACTGATCATTTTTGCTAACTTATTAGATGACTCACTTCTATCACTAATTGAGAGACCCATACCATATTAACGTCATTTGTTTTTCTCGAGACTAAATTCTGCTGGGCTCTTTAGTTATGCGTCTCTAAAGACGCGCCGGTATGAGTTGTACCATCTGGTCGATCTCGGGAAGTTCTTGATTTTTTACGATGGAAATGCTCTTTCCTAGAATATATTGCAATTTTACTATATAGCATTAATAGATAAACACATACCTTCGGTCGTTTCATCGCAACGTCTCGACTTTTACCTCTTGAAACGACGAAACAATTTCGCTCGCTGAATCCATTCAAAGTTCCCGGGATAAATTTCTCGTGACGTCACGATGGCCAAGATCATCCGCCGCGCGATCCCTATAGGAGCGATTGACGAGTTCATCACCCCCCCCTGTATGTAAGCTTTCTTCTTCAATATGGCTGATGGAAAAGAAGTTGCATCTCCCCAAATCTTCGTCTTGAGTGGAAAACGAAAATCGGGAAAAGATTTTATTGCAGGCAAACTAAAATGCGCCTTTGGTTGTGACAAATGTAATATTATCAGACTCTCCGGTCCTTTGAAACGTGAATATGCGAAACAAAACGGACTGGATTTTGATCGACTGATGGATTCTACGACTTACAAGGAACTATACCGTCACAAAATGATTGGATGGGGAGAGGAGAAAAGAAACGCTGACTCATATTACTTTTGCAGATTAGCAGTAGAAATGATTCTCGCTGAAAATTGTGGCGAAAATCTTTCTCTTCCCAAACCAGTGTGGATAATATCTGACGCACGGAGAAAAACCGATGTACGTTACTTCAAAGAAAGTTACGACAACGTTGTAAGTGTGCGGATAAATGCTTCAGAGGAGACAAGAAGATCAAGAGGTTGGGTATTTACACCCGGTGTGGATGACGCTGAGTCTGAATGTGGACTTGATAATGAGATATTTGATGTTGTGATTCAGAATGATGGCGATGAACAGCAACTGGAAAAAAATCTTAACTATCTAAGAACCTATGCTTGTTCTTCGTAACTTAATAGTGTCTTAAAAATGACCGTAATTGTGAATAGCAACTAACTGACAGATGACCAATGGTTGACTAGCAGACCGACAGTTTGCCAACAGTCAACCACCAGTTGGTCAACTGTTGGCCAACTGTCAGTCGGTCGACCGTCTACCGAGTTTTCTCAAACGCACATTGGTAGATAGCCTGCGTGCAGACGATAACTTTAGTTCCGTCTGTGAAGCAGCGCAGAGATCCTTGTTCTGGACCCCCAACGGACTCAACGAATTACCGGAAGTGCGTTTCGAATTCCCCTTCAACCTAATTGGCGATCACGACAAACAAAACAAAGGCCTTTTTAAACTGGCCAATCGTGGCGCGTACTCAAATCTGGGTACACAGCTGGAAGTCCAGAGCAAGGATTTCGGCACTGTTTTGTGGATGGAGTTAACCAGAGTTTAATTTCGTCTGTGCGCAGGCTAATTGGTAGACTGTCAGTGACCCTTTGGTAAGTTGCTTCATTCAAAACTTGATAAAACTTGCGTATTTCCCACCATAACCATTTTGAGCGCAGAATTGAAATATAGCCAAAAAACATTACACTAATACTGATTCTTAATCTCCTGGCGTTTCGATACTATATATATTTAACAATTCTTTGTGCAGACTTTGGGTAGCATCCCTAATGTAGATGTAGGTAAGGTCGGTAATGTCTCGGTTAACTGTCAGCCAACAGTTGGCCGACATTTGGCTGAAAGTTGGTGTAGGGGAGTTATTAATATATTCTTCACAATTACCAAAATTACAACAAAAAGTAGCAGTTTGGGAAAATTTTGTTCACATTTTATAGAATTTATGAGAAAAGGTACCAGTGATTGTGGTTTCTGTATGGAAGGCTTTGTTTATCCTTTGACTCCCCAGCGAAGAGACAAAGCGTACAGCAGTAGTAAACACAAGTTGAATGTCTCGAGGGCTGATCTCCATTTATGGGAACCTAAGTAACTAGGGCTAAATGATCAGAGGGCTAAATAAAATGGTTTCCTCTCATGGCAGTTAATACTTTATGAATGGTTAAGAAATCTAAACAAACTACTAAAATTTATCTCCCAGGCAGTTTGCAGTTTTGTTGTAGTTTTTGATTTTTCTAAAATGCTCATTGGGCACAACAGAAGTTCAGTATTGCATGTATTATGCCATGACACAAGAGGACCTAAAGATTTCCAGTCAGAGAAAATTTCCTCCCGTTCTAAGCATCCAAGTAGGAGATATTGCCAATCAATCATAATTTCTTAACACACTTCCAATTAAGGAGTTTAAAAGACCCTTTAAGATGAGCTGTGAAAACAAAGGCAAATGTAACTACTAGCCCTGTTATCAGGAACATGCATGTAAAAGAGTTTAAGGAGTTTCATATATATCATCCACTCTCCATGCAACTTTTTTTCCAATATCCATAGCCACCAAGGCAACATTCCTCAGTGCAATGCATGCTTCCCTGGAAAATGTTGAAATCAAAGTCTTACTCTACCAATCTAAAAATTTGCAAACAGTCATATTGACATTCATTTGGAGCAAGATTGCAATACAGTGGTGGCAGAGCGAAATAAAAAGTGGGGGGGGAGGAGGCTGAAAATAAAATTGGACATTCCATTCCCCCCCAAGCAGTAAAAGACAGCTTCCGTCTTTTTTGGTAAGACGCCGACAACATCTTAGCGTTTCAGGCATTTGGATAATGGAGTACTGGGAATGGGCTACAAACACTTTGGACCAATACTATCTTGAATGGCACCAACAACAAAAACTACATAGGACAGCCTTCCATAGGCCGGTGGGGGAGGGAGGGAGTGCAGATTAAAAAATGAAATGTCCTAATCCAACCGGCCTAGTACGTTGTTTGGTTTTAAACTGTCAGACGACTAGACATTTACTTGAACTTTCCAAAATAGTCCTAATGATAATGAGTTGACCGTGGTAAAATGAAAGAAAGTTAGTTATTATTCTACAAAAGTGGGGGGGGCTCTGCCCCTTCGCAATAAAAATGGGGTGAGCTGAAGCCCCCCCCCCAGTCCCCCCGCTTCCACCGCCTCACAGTAATCCGAAAAATGCAATCATTTACGGTGGTATATTAATTTTAGCTTCTTAAACAGACTGTATGATCCATTTGACTCACAGTGGTTACTCAGAACTAGCATTGACTCTTGTTTGTTCCCAAAAGCTACCATCTCCCTCTAGCTTTTCAAAAATGAGTCTGGGGAAGACAAGCAGATCTGCTCATATAATGTCAGAAATTTGTAGCAGCTCACATGATTATTATCTCACCTGAAACTAGAATGATTGTCTGACTTGAGGAAAACAGTGTCAAGAAATAACTCGGGATAAGTTAGTAAACTGTACTTGCTTTAGTCTATCATATCCAGCACGCGTATCCTTCTAACAGATAATTCTTAGTCAGTTCTTTCCATGAAAATGAAACTAAATATTCAACTTAAAAACAGATTCTATCATTGGAAACAATCTTGTGACTGCTGATAAATGTATTAATTTTTTACCCCCATCAAATTCAACAACTCACTGGTCAAGGTAAAAAGATTACAGCCCCTCAAAAAAAGTACTTTATTTGAGTGTCAATGTATTTAGCGCAAACGCACTAATTGAGGACACTAGTTTCATGCCTCCTTCTGGAGATAGGACTGACATTGTAGGTATAGCCATCCAAGCCACATGAAAGTCTAGCTATCTGTAGGGCTAAGAAAGTACCCGCATTGGTCCCGCCCCATTGACCTCTCGCTTTGTAGTCAAGCACTCTATTGACTGAGCTAATCTTGTTTAATAGTAAAGTTAGAAAAGTCAGCTACTCAGCATTGCCAGTCTGTTGTAAACTCTGTTCTGTTGGTATACTTGGTAGTTCCAAAGAAAAATGTTAATGAGGCCCTGCCAGAGGGGGGTCCCATGTCGCCCGTCTGAATTTTAAAACGTCTCTTGTCGGTGTTTATAAATGCTTGTCGCTTATTGTCGGCTTTGCCGTCACTGTCGCAATTTGGCCGAGGAAGGTTGTCTCTTGTCGCGATTTCATTTTACGCGCTGTCGCTACTTTTTGGGCCATGTCGCTTGTCGGAATTTACCCTGGCAGGGCCTCGTTAATTGATAAACTACAGTGAAACCTGTATTAAGGGGACAGCCTCTTTTAAGCGGACAGTAACCGAAGTCCCGAAATTTATTTCCCTTATTTACTTTAAATAAAACCTTTATTAAGCGGACACCTCTATTAAGTGGACACAGACACCTAAAAAGTACCTGAAATGGTCATTTCTATTGTTTCCAACCTGTATTAAATGCACACTTGTAATAAATGAATTCCACCACCCAACATGAAAGACACAGCAATCCCAGAGGGTGTCTGCTTAATACAGGTTTCACTATGGTCACTGTCTAGAAAGCTGAAAAATAGCCCACAATTAATCATTAGAATAGAGATTCTTGCTTGCTTGTTGTTGTTTGTTGTTTGATTTTTTGTTTGTTTGATATTTTTTCAAACAGTTCCTTCTAGTCCAACCAAAGCTGTACTAATTTCCCACAGTTTCTTGGCAACACCATCATCTTTTGCTTGTTCAGCTGGATCCTTAGATTTGCAGTCACTGTAATACACTCCAGACTCAATGTCATCAGCTACTGCACAATGAATTGTGGTCTGAGCACCTTGACGGGGGGTCTTGAAAACCAGCCACACAATTGGTGCAAGAGAAAACCTGGCTAAATAGGACTTTGACAAGGACAAGTGCCGACCTAATTCAGTTTTCACAACACCGGGATGGACAGCAGTAACTGTAATGTCAGTGCTGTCCAATTTTTTACTCAGTTCGCGAGTGAACAGCACATTAGCGAGTTTGCTCTGAGCATAGGCAGGGCCTGGGCTATACTCCCTTTTGCTTTGCAAATCATCAAAGCAAATTTTACCTCTAGTGTGGGCCAAGGAACTGACATTGATGATACGACTTGGCTGTGATTTCTGCAGCTTATCTAGGAGGAGATTTGTGAGAAGAAAGTGGCCCAGATGGTTGACACCTAACTGCATTTCGAAGCCGTCTTCAGTTGTCCCGTAGGGGCATCTCATGATTCCTGCATTATTTACAAGAATGTCTAATCTTTCTTCACTTTCATTGATTTCAGAAGCAAATTTCCTCACTGACCTCAACGAAGCCAGGTCAAGTTCTTTTACGATGACTTTGCTGTTTCCGGTCTTGTTCTGTATATCCTTGGCCGCTACGTCAGCTTTCGATATATTTCTGCAAGCCAAAATTACTCGGGCACCCCTGCCTGCAAGATCCAAAGCTGTTTCTCGTCCGATTCCTGTGTTTGCTCCGGTCACGATTACTGTCTTACCTTCTAGTTTCGCTTTGCAGTTGCATACCCCACCACCAAAGTAGTTTCTTAGCAAGAAAATTCCCCCACTTAAAGCAGCTAAAGTGGACAGAGGGCCAGCCACCCTCCATATCTTTTCCGGGGTCGCCATATATTTGCCAATGGCTGTTGCCCGCTGACAAAAAGATGCGTAATCTCAAGAAATACCGTAGGTCCGCAAACTGTCAGCAAATTGCACTGAACCTGCCAGTCAGTAATCACTTTTTTTCGAGGCTTTTTTAAAATTGAAATTTCGTAAAAAAATTTTTATAGTCTTTATAGGCCCGAGGCTCATCGCACTGCATTACATTTGTAATTCTAAAAGCCAAGAGTCAACCACAGGCGGCCCAAACTCACGTTGCGAGGGAAGGTGAAATGTAATTTACATAACATATGTGACGTGCCAGTGTCGCGTTACAGGCGACCGTTATAAGAGACATTGTATGGGAAATATATTACTAAGATCTGCGAACGCCAAATAACGCTAAACCTTACTTTTTCTTAAATGAAATAAATAAAAAAGGCTTACCTGCAATCTATTCCGCTGCGGTTTGGTGTCTGTTTGTCGTTTTACTGTTTTTTTGGCTTTATTGCGTAACCACTGTTACTCCTTTCATACCCGGTATGACCAATCGATAAAAACCGATATCGGAAAACCGTTCGATAAATCGATATCAATCGATAATTTTTAATTAATCGATATCGATTTTATCGATCAATCGATAGAAATCGATACTCACAGTCTTCCGCGTATTTAACGATATCGATTTTATCGAGTAATCGATGTTAACGGAGTATCAAAAACCATACAAAATAAAACTGCTTCTATGTGGACAGCGTTTTAATTTAATATAATATATCAGTTATTTTTGTTTCATTACCTCTCTTCTGCTTTAGTTGCGGAGTTCATCATTTACTTCGTTTTACTTATTTATAGAATGATTTTAGCTCTGATTTGTAGTATGATTTTTGCGGCGGCGAGGGTTTTGCTGACAAAACATTTACTGGAGACAATGTCTAGCATTACAACTACGCAGCTTCGTACTTCGTAGTACATGTATTTGTAGGATGTCATTACGACATTTAGCTTGAACAGTTTCTGAGTAAATACAAAAAGCGGTTATGTTATGTTGCGTTTCCCCGTTGAATCATGCCAGGGAATCGTGTTAATATTATTTGATTATCAGTATTCATTCAATTATCGATTTGTTAAATAAATCTTTAAATTCGTCCTACTTGATTCATTGAATCGTAAGAGTGTTTTTATGGAAGATTTGATACATTTTAGAAATTCGATAAAATCGATAACATTAATTTAAAAATCGATAATTATCGATTACTCACAACGTGTCCTTTTATCGATTTTAATCGATTTCCGATACAATTTACTAATTTTTATCGATTGTTATCGAATGTTATCGATTATCGGTTTTATCGATTGCACATGCCGGGTTTCATAGAACGAAGTGACTTCGTTCTATGAAAGGAGTAACAGTGGTTACGCAATAAAGCCAAAAAAACAGTAAAACGACAAACAGACACCAAACCACAGCGGAATAGATTGCAGGTAAGACTTTTTTATTCATTTCATTTAAGAAAAAGTAAGGTTTAGCGTTATTTAGCGTTCGCAGATCTCAGTAATATATTTCCCATACAAAGTCTCTTATAATTATATTTTCAACGGTCGCCTGTAACGCGACACCAGCGCGTCACATATGTTATGTAAATTACATTACACCCTTCCCTCGCAACGTGAGTTTGGGCCGCCTGTGAGTCAACTAACCAGCAGTCCGCTACATAGCCATGAGTGTCGTCACGCAACAGTTTGCGTGACGACACTAAAAACGACTGTGCAGCTGACTAACCAGCTAGAGACAAACAACTGGAATTCTTTTCACGAGCAGGCTATATGGAGGTTCAAGGGAAGCTACTTTATAGCCGTCTCCAGGCTGAATGCTAATGAGCGACAACAATATAAAGGTTTTGGCTCATTACATTAGACTGTGCCGGGCTCTTTGAAGTTTTCAAGATCTCTGCACATTAATACTATCTTGGAGCCTGAAATTGGCTGGTTCCGCTCATGTTTCGTATTGCCCGGGTCTTACAGAGATAGGACCAACCGACACCACGGACGAAGTCGTCCTAGAATTTTGGACTAAATCCGCCAGGGGCGTAGCCAGCCATTTTTTAAATTCCCCTTTTATTTAGCCCAATTTGTTGGAGTCCTAAAGGGGCGGTGACGGGGAGGGGGGGAGGGGGCAGTGAGGACATAAAAGCAAGACAAGATGACGTACGCTTTGACGTAGCAGCAGCTTTTTTTCATTTTCAGTGAGTTATCAACGAACGGGCTCTAGAAGTTCTGAAGAAGTAGTGGTGGGGGGGTTGAGGTCAGTAGCGGAACAAATTTAAGCTGGCTCAAGTAATTTAGCAGTGAGTTTTAAAAAAGGGCAGGAATATATGACTGAGTTTAGACTAGAATCTTTTTATAGAAAACCTGTATTACCATCATCTCTCAAGGTCAACTGATAGAGACGTGAGTATCAATCTCCGTGCATGTCTGGCTTGGACACTACGTGGGATCAGCCATTCTTTTAGTATCGTAGACTGCGAGCAGTACCTCTTTTGTTCCATAAAGTTTGTGATCGGGCGTGATACACTCGTACTATGTACTATGTTTTCACCCTTATGAGAGTGCAGAATCATCCCTCTAGAGTCGAAGTGAACACTGGCATGGTAAGGAGAAAAATGAGCAAAGTGGAGGGGGCTCTTTCACACGTTCAGCTATTTCGCTCATGCAAGTTGTCTGAAGAAGAATAAGGTGGTGATATTGCCATTCAAATGAAACCTTTTAGGTGAAGAAATACGATTCTACCAGGGGCACCCAACGAGAATATAGTCAAACCCACTTAAACATAGAATTGTTAAACGTTTTTTAGTATTTAAACGGTAGATATAGGCATATTTTTATCCCCTAAAAATGTTTCATCTGTTCGGATTTCCTAGCTGAAAGTCAATTGATCCGAAAATTATAGGGATCAAAACTTACCTTTTCGAAAATTTCAGCCAGAAAAAAGGCTCCCGAAAATTCTAGGTGACCTTTTTAGGGTAAAAATCCGTTAAAAATAGGCAATTATACCATTTTTTAGATGTTCGAAAATCCTAGGAGAGGCAGGCAGGCAGGCAAGAAATTTTACAACAAATGTTCCGAAAATTCTAGATCTCAAATCGTCTTCCGAACAGATATTTTCCCGAAAACTGTCGTTGGGTGCCCCTGTTCTACTTACTCTGAAATTTTAGTTGTAACAACTGAAATAGACTGCAGATCAAGAGTGAGGCTAGTTTACAAAAAGAGTTTTCAAAGTCAAGAAAACTAATACGAAGAACCATTCAGATGGATTGGTTTCCTCGAAGTATATACGTTTTAATACCATTGTCAGGGTATGAAATTAACTATTCTTTTGTAAGAGCCGCTTGGCTTCATCATATTTCAAAGTGGTGGCTAAAGGAAACTTTACGGGAGGAAAAAAAGGTTAAATAGATGTTTACTTTTTAAAGCTGAGATTCTTCAAAACTAGGAATTTTTAATCTAAATGATTCAAGCAGGTAATTCGGCAACGTAAACAAAGGGGACCCCTCAACGTGTACTTGTATTAAAAAACCAAGATGGCGTTCAGCAGCAGAACGATAGACATTGTTTGCCTGTATTAGGTAAAATTTCACGCCGTGTTATGAGTGTTAACAAGCGATTACATCCATGAGCTTATTTTAACCCAGTTTTGTTAAGCCCTGTGCTAATGGCTTAAAGGCAGCTACGTCCCTGCTGGCTTGCGCATTGAAATTTTATTAAAAGATGTTCAAAAAGTCGTTACCAGAGCTTGCATAATGATATATAGTAAAGCGATGTCTTTCGGTATTAGCCTGCATTTCGGCCTCGAGCCAAACCTCCGAGAGAGACGAGGTGGCGACTAGAGGAGAAATCTGCAATTCAGGCTATTTTGGAATATAATAATTAATACCATAAATATCTACATTTTAGAAGAAATTGTCAGTTGTGCTTTGAGCCCTGACTGAAATTTTAATATTTAAATTTAATTCTGAAGCAAATCGCCCAAACAATAAATAAATCAATATACTAAAAAAATTCTACTGATATTATTGCTCCCTTGCGAACGGAGATAGCTGAAGATCTGAGCACCTTTATCGACTTAGTATTATCACTCGGCCAGGGTCCACCAGAAAACGGGAGTCTAATATCGCAGCGTTAATCATATGTGATACAAAAAATTTCTGTAACAGGGCTTGAAATCAGTTCTTCATAAATTAGTAGTAACTCTGTAAAAGTGAGATATTCCAAGTTGTTCTTCCTTGATAGTTTGTTTTACATTACAGTCTAAGGAATCATTACCAGCCAAAGTTTCTTTCGCAGCATTTTCAACATCGAAGCTGGAATTTAGTGTGTCTGCCAGAAGAGGGTTTGATGCTGTGTTCGGTTTTTTATTCGTTTGGTTGATGATGCATCCATTGGCCTCTGAATCAGGTTCCTGTTTGAGCTCTCCAGGGAAATTTTCGCTTGAATATGAATCCCATGTGGGAGGGACACTGACAAATTTCTGCGCCATTTTGAAAGACAAAACTCTTATAGTCTTTCTGAAGTTCACCATTCTCAGCGCATATATAAAAGGGTTCACGGAACTGGGAAATAAGATCGATATGAACTGAAAATCTCTGATAACATGAAATGTATTGCAGCTGCAAGTTGTACTGAAATTTAACACATAGCTGAAGCACAAAGGTGGCAAAGTTAAAACGACAAAGGAACAAAGAAAAACTAGAAATGTTTTCGTAACTTTCTCATCGCGTTTGATTAATCTGATTTTCATCTTGTCGCTGTCAGTAAGAGAATGAAATAGTTTTCGCTGAGAGCGTAGACTACATGAAATCATATGATGTACAAATACTAAAACGATTAAAGTGAAAAGAATGGTGCTATTCGCAAACACAAAGGTGTATATTATGAAATCTATATACAGGTAAGCAGAAGGGCCCACAGTTGAAATTAACCAAACGACTAGAGATATTTTCTTCACTCGCGAGGACGTCAACCTTGAGCGA